CTCGAACATGAGTATGCTTGAGTTTGATTTTGTTAAGAATTCACGAGATCAAATTCACGAGTTCGAGATCGAGCTCGAACTTAGACGAGTTAAATAATTTGGGCTCGAACTCGAGCTGAGTTCAGGGTTTGCTAATTGATTTTTATATGTTTGGGCTTATAGAAGATGCTTGAACTCGAAGTAAACATAAAGTTTCTATTTTTCAAATTATTAATATTACATTTATACATAGAAAAAATTTAACATTTGTACTTAATCGTTCTCATTCTTTAATACCTCTCTCCTTCACATACATTTGTATTCCTTATTCTACTATCAATAAATATTATATTTATTACAGATTATGGTTATAAAAGTAGTAATAATGAATATTTTTATATTTATATATATTACTATTATAATATATATACATAATAATAAGTATTGAAAATGAAAGTCCTAAATTAGAATACATATTTCAAATATATTATGCACACAGACACACACAAACGTCACAAAGGCTCACGAACCGAAAATAAATAGGCTTGAATTGAGCTTGAGTATGACCGAGCTCGAGTCGAGTTTTTCTTGAGCGATCCACCATGAGCACCTCACGAATAACTTGACTCATTTACACACCTAGACCATACCGGACTTAAACAAATCAGATCAGACAGACTAGACTTCCATGATTATAAAATATGTAAAGACCTAACATTTACCAACTTAGACGTCGACGTCGAATTTATCGGAATAACCTTATAGCTGTAAAAATTAAATAAACCCCTCCTCTAATGAAATTCGTTGGGAAGATGCTTATGATATTACCGGGTTTAGCCCTTCTTTGCTTTCTTATGGCGATGTGCCTTGTTACGTTGTTGGGATTCAAGTGTTCAAGAGTCAAGGCAATCCATCAGCCGTTAATTTTGACCCATATGAACATGAGAACATTCCCTAAATAGGAGTAATCTGCCAAGTTTGAAAGAAAATATCATGTTTAATAGCCTTGTAATGCCAAACTTGGCAGAAATTTACTCCTATTCAGAGAATAAAAACTTGATCCTCCTATTATGGAATTTCAAAATATTTTTACACCTATTTAGGTCAATTTCTGTATGAATATATGATAACTGTAATTTAGGGGGGTCGATGCTACATGTTTCTCCTGGTTTAGGTGGGAGTATATTTCTTTGAGATATTACCCAAAATAGGACTAAAAAGGTTTGAAAATTCCAAAATAGGACTTCCATGTTTTTATTTCTAAAATAGGACTAATTACTGTCATGTTTTGGCAGTACCAGACTTCAAACATGGCAATATTTTCCAAACTTAGCAGTAATTACTCCTATTTTGGGAATAAAAAACATGACAGTCCTATTTTAGAATTTCCAAACTGTTTTAGTCCTATTTCGGGAACTTTTCCTATTTCTTTTTGTTGGAAAATTAACATCGTCCTAAACTTCTATGTTTCCGGTCTATGAATATAAACAAGCACATGGTCACCAGACTGCTGAAGTTCTGGCTCAAATAACTGAATTGTCTACTCGTATTTAGGGCAATTCTCTTAAAATAATTGAATTTTCTGTGATGTTAATAACTGAAGTTTTGGCTAAATCGGTTGAAATCGATCATGATGAAGTTCTGTCTGAAATAACAGAATTGTCTGAGTTATGGGAAAACAAATTGTTTTTCAGAAAAAATTATTAGTAAAATAATGAAAAAAATATATAAAATTTACTTATTAGTAAAGTTGTCCTCTATAGTAACTGCATCCAATTCAACCATAAAAATAGTTAAAATTTACTTGTTTTGATTACTATACAATTCAACAAGAGAAAAATAAAAAGTACGTATTTGATGAAAAAATTGACTGATAAAACCGATTAACAAAATAAAATGCTAACGAGACTGGCTCATAATGTTACATCAATTGAAGAACTTAAATCATGTGCATGTTACTCGTATTTATAACAATTTCTCTTAAATCAATTGAAGTGAGGACATAAACTACTCCTTGATACGTAGTAGTACGTACGCCATGGTTGCCCTTAGACGTCGTACCGTACGTGACGACTTTCTATCTGTTTTATAGGCTATTTGGGAATCATTATCTGAGGGGCAGTTTTCTGGATGTTGTTTTTCCTGGAAAAAGACACTTGGTATTAAACAGAAATGCAAAACTTATAGGGTTACGTTATCTGATCCGTATAAGATTCCCAGTCAAAGTTCGTACAAGGTAGCAAGGTGAGGCAGAGACAAGAGATCGAGGTGTAATGTTTGTAATTATATTAGTAAGCTATGAGAACGTACGTACATGATTGATCAGATAGGGAAAGGTAGGATGTGGAAGCAGAAAGCTAAGCACCCATGATATATGAATATGTATATCGGTAGATCAATGATAGTTGAGTGAAGTTGTTGGATTGAGGTCTAAAATTCAATTCCAGTCACTGTCATTGTTAGAGTTTCATCCAATGCGGTTGCTCCTTGTGCGCACCAAACTCTAAACCATCTCACTCAAAAACTGTTTAAGACCATACCGTGACTTAATTCTCCACCATTCTATCGGGTCAGGTGTGGGGGCGCCTGTGGTGAACGATTCCACTTTTTGGAGTGAATATGTATATCAGATCAGACCGGTTTTTCATTAAACTTAATTGTTGCATTGTTATGTGACACGGAAACTCTAGAGAAAGATCAACTACATTTTCGTTTCGGAAACTCTTTTACTACTCTTCAAATAAGCGTTTTTGAGCAAAAAATGAAGTTTCTCATTTCTCGTTTTTTTCATAGTTTTCGCAATTCTGTGGGACATAGGTGTATTGAATTGGCACCCATGCATATATATGCACTTACAACCTACGCAGTGTTTTTGACAGAAAAAACGGAACTCTTTACAAAATGTAGCTAGACTCTTTTCGGCTTAGACCCTCCTTCCGTTGGATGAACATTTAGACCACAATTCAAAGATAAAGTCTGGGCTTAAACACGTTGACCTGTACGTTGGGGTGGAAGTACTGAAAGAAAAGAGCGGCAGTACGTTGACCAACAATGGTCAAATTTAACCATCTACGTAGTACATGAGGAAAAAAATTAAAAATGTACTACCTCCGTCCCATATTTATCTTCATAGTTCGGTTTACGATGCTTGACTAACGATAAAGCAACTCGATCTCTGTTCACACTCGGATTATTTTTAGTAAATAAAATTTACATATTCAGAAACTACATTAAAACCGCTACAAAGCCTGATCAAGAAACTTTAAGTTTGATAAAAATTTGATATATAAAGTAAAAGATTAAGAGTAATTTGAGTTGACCATGTGAATAGTAACTATGAAGATAATTTTGGGACGGAGGGAGTACTAAATAAGATGAGGAGCATTTACAAGATGGTGGAAGAATTTGTTCGAGTACAAATGTACTAAATAATTTTTGAACCCCAGCAGACATCAACACAGTAGATCGATGTAAAAATGTAAATTTGAACCTCAGAATTAGGGGTGGCCATATCATGATATCGGTTCAGCTAACCGGATTACAAGAGATTGGAAGAATAATTATCCAATCAAAACCATACTATCTATCGATTTAGATTAATTCAATCTGGTTTACTTCAACCAGTTTGATTCGAATGTGTTATTTTTTAATAACATATACTCCCTCCGTCCCGGGGAGAAGTTCCCAATTTCCTTATTTGGATGTCCCAAAAGAAACTTCCCATTTCCCTAAATGGAAAGTTATCCTACATTAAAACAATGCCAAACAGTGTCAAACAGTGCCAAACAGTGTTGAAATAGTGCCAAACAGTGTCAAAACAGTGCAAAACAGTAAAATTTACCCCTCAGTAACTTTATTTCCTAAAAATGTGTGAAAGTCAACCCGGGAACTTCTCCCTGGGACGGAGGGAGTAAAAGATATTGGGAAATTAGAGTCTGAGTGTCGAATGATCTTTGTTATGTGCTCTTGAGGGAGGGGCTAAAGTGCTAACTTCAAAGTTCAAAGGGTGATATGATGAATGTCCCAGGAAAATGCCATTTGTGGATGATAACTTTCAAGATGATGAGGACCCCGATTCATAGCCCAAAAACTTTGAACCTATGTTGCACCAAAACGCGAAAATCATAAGGAAATGAGAAATGAGAAATCTCAACTTTTGCTCAAAAATCGCTTATTTAAGAGTTTCCATGAATTTCCGAAACGGGAAACGTACTCTTTCCCGAGAGTTTTCGAGCCACATAGCTTTGAACAAATAACAAATATGGCTTCCATTTTTAAGATCGAGGGATTGATGCACCGTTTTAATTGATGAATCACTTTTTCATTAGATTTGTGTTAAGTTTGATGTTCATTTATTTGACTTTGTAAATTGTAAGTTTGATGATCAATATACGGAGTATATGATACTCCATATTGTGCAAGTCTTGGTTCTATGTTTACTTCGTAAATGAATTTTAAATTCTTATTTCATTTAATTATAGAAAATGTTATCCTTTTTTAAAAAACAGATCATTGACGGAAATTCATAAATTAGTGGCGGAATATCCGACACATATAGTGTCAGAATATTCGCTAAAATTTCCATTTCTAATTTGTGTCCAATTAGTTTATCTCAAGCTAACTATTTTAGTGTGCAGATTTTAGTGGCGAAATGTCTGGCACTAACGCCGTTTATTGACAACATGGTTGATGTAAAATTAGAAACTAAAATCCGAAAATTCATGTAGTGTTAGATTGTGAGTTTTATTTAGTTTTATTCGATTTTCTTGAGTTTCGGTTTGATTAAATTTAAACCAAATGACATATTGTTCAATTTCTAATTAATTTAGTTCCATTTGTTACAGTTCGATTACATTAAACCAAATACTCCGTATTTTACAAAATTAATTCTTAATAATACAGGGTAGAGTAACTTTAATTTTTAATCGAAGTACTGTATTATTGGTGGGTGGTATTTTTGGATCAGTACGGACTAGGGAGTATAAATATCTATCCATCTATCAGTGCAAGTGTGAGTCATCTATCATTTGATTAGCCTTGACACAGCATTAAAATACAGAGCAGAGCGGCAAACATTAAATAACGTGTCTTTTTAGATAGAGTGTGCAGCCTAGCTAGGCTGGCTGACCTTTACACACTGTTCCATCTCTCAATATCTCCCATCCAAACACGCCCTTCTCCATCGCCCGGTCACCATCTTCCCCTGCTCCTCATAAACCAGAGCAAATCCAAACCAGAGAGCTGTAAATCTGTAACAGATAAATACTCCGTAAATAAACAAAGGACAATGACGAATACGGCTTTGGGCAGAAACCTTAGCCTCTGTTTCTCCAAGTCAAAATCTCCGGCCAAATCTCTGTTCCCGGAAGCTTCCGATCACCGCCGGCCGTTCTTCGTCAAAAACTTCAACTCCCTCTACGACTTCACCATGGAATGCTCTCCCAACCCAAACTCCTTACCCGCTCGCTCTTCTTCGACCACCGACGACGACGGCGAACCCGACTTCTTATCCGACGACGCCGCCCCTGACCTGGCCGCCGTCCAGGCATCCCGGCGCTTCTTCTTCTCATCTCCCGGCAGGTCGAACTCCATCGTTGACTCCTCGTCGACGTCGTCTTCAAGAGCCTCGACCTCCTTCTCCTCCCCAACGGAGCCCGACGCGCTGGTCGGCGGAAGCGTCGCCGTTTCGACGATATCTCCGGACCCGTTCTTGGATTTCCGGCGGTCGATGCAGGAGATGGTGGAGGCCCGGAAATTGATGGATGTGAGAGCGAATTGGGACCACTTGCACGAGCTGCTCATGTGCTACCTGACGCTGAACCCGAAAAGCGCCCACAAATTCATTGTGGGGGCGTTTGCCGACCTCCTTGTCAGCCTTATGCCTCCACCGGCGGCGGCGGCTCCGGCTGAATTTCGCCGGAAACCCCGAGTCCTATAACCGCAGTAATAACAGTAAAGTCTTCCAAGAGTACGTGTAATTAGGTGTACTTTTGCCTTTAATTATTCATCACATTGTATACGGAGGAAGTATCATCTCTTTACTAAAACTGCGTTATTTTGTCATTTACAGCAAGTCAACTTGGCGATTGATCAATTAATTACGTCTAAAAACATTATAATTTTGAATAGAGGTTAATATCCCTTATTTATGTCAATGCTTTTTATGCATACAAGCTTGTACATTCTTATTAAAATGTAGTACTAATTTTTCCTAAAGACTATAATAACCTTACACCGTTAAAAATATTAACTTTGCTAAGTTGGTGACTTTATAACTGCTTCCATGAATTCTGAATATAAACCGTGATTGATGAATACATTAAGTTCAAATACGGAGTATTAAATGGAACTATAGAGTAATAGCTAGCTAACTATCAAACTCAGTTTAGAAAATGATAAATTGGTGATGGCTCAGAGTCAAAGAGTTGCATATTTAATTAATAATTTGAGTAGAATAAGTAGTGTCTCACTAAAAAATACACATTACATTGATCTTTTTTATAATGTTTCCGTCTCCTATTTTCATTTAAATTTGGCAGAAATTGTGAAAACACCGAACTTGGTTGAAATGAGTGATTTTGCTAAAATTTATAAAGTTCTAGCGAAAGTAGATTGGATGATTCTAGTGACTTATTTAAAAAATATACTATCTCCGTCCCGTAAAGAAGTTCTCACTTTCCTTTTATGGATGCCCCAAAAATGAGTTCTCATTTCTATAAAAGGAAACCACTTTTATCTTCACAACTACCCTTACTTTTTATCCACTTTTTGTTTGATTTGACATAAAGTAAGGGTAAACTTGCAAACTCAAAACAAAACTCTACCTTACATAAATATGTGTGTAGGTCAAACCGGGAACTTCATTGCGGGACGGAGGGGAGTATCTAGAAATATTTCATTAATGAAATAAAGAAAATTTTATTTCAAAAAATAATTAAAAAAGATCATCTACATTAACTTCGGCCAATTCGGCCATAAAAGTAACTTCTACCTTATTTATTTTGATTACGACACAATGCATTGTGTTATCAAAAGTTACGTGTTTATTGAAAAGTTGATTCATAAGGCTCATAAGACGAAACACATGATCTCTTACACACAGATCTCATTTTTATCTCACAATTTTTATGTGTAAGACCCACATATTTCCTAATTATTATTCATTTTCATTTTTATATAACTTTATTTTAACTCTCTTTCCATCTACTTTTCCTTCTTGAATCTCGTGTAAGGTTTATTAGTCGACCTTGTCATATACTTTTAGGTCTACACTCTACACTTTATCTTCATATCTTTCCTCTTTTTCATATTTCCCCACACTTTATTTATATTAAATTAAAATGTTCATTTTATCTCTATATGTCTTGTATGTCACATCACTAATTCACCCCCATTCGAGAAGCCCTTATGGATGTGTAAGTAGTTCTATTTAATTCAAGGTTCAAAAGGCAATCAACTCATATATTGTGCTCAAGCTTTAAAACCTATTGTCATTTACAACTATTTCGCACTCTCTCATTTTTGTTTAAAGTAACAAATTAGTGACTAAAGTTATTTATCTTTTTACTGTACAAATTTCAATCAACTTATTACCTATTATTTTACGTTAAAGTCAAACTTAACTAAGTTCTAGAAATGAAATTAAAGGATATATTATGTTAAAACAAAAATAAAATGAATCGCATAACCACACACTTTAAAATCATATAGACATATTTTTCAGACAATAATTGGTTGACATGGAATATAACCAATCTGACAAAAATCTTATTTTCATTATCTATTTACAAAAATCTCATAATAATTTTGCATGTAACAATTCTTTATAGAATAGAACATTATTTTAATATTGGGCAAAACACTCTCGTGCCTTGCACGAGTAAACGCTAGTTGTTGTAATATGTACTGTTATTACATAAACTTTGTCTTGAATACATACAGGGTCGGTCCTAGGGGTGCAACAGGGGCGACCGCCCTATGCCCAAAAAAAATAGGATGGAAAAATAAACCCAAAAATTTGTCTTCATATATAGCGGGAGTAGACTCCTTTTTTGTATTTAAGCTCAAGTAATTAGGTCTAAGGTTTAATTTTGTTGAAAAATTAAAAATTTTAAAACAAATGTTAAAAGGCATGTGGCACGCCTTTTTGAGTAGTTAAAGTCTCTTCACATCTCTACGTTTTATAATTCTTTTAATTACAAAATTACCACTATATTTATTGTCTTTAACTCTTTGTATAGCCCGTGTGTCTCCCAAACTCCCAATGCATAAACCACCCCATCCCACTAACCTAATTACTTCTTTGGACGGTGGTTTCCAAGTTCCAATTACACTCAATTATCTAAGGAAGTAAAGGACTAAGGTTTAATAAGGTCTTGACCGTCTCGCACAAGAGTAGACATTAGAAAGCGTCGCAAGCCTGCAAATCGCCATTAGCCAAAGCGGTCAGCGGTGAAGAGCCCAAAAAGCGCCCGGCGACTAGAACACATTCTTCTATCAAGGCTTCAAATAATCCGACAACAGCTAGTAAATTATTCTCAATCTATTAGCCATAAAAAATAAATGCACCAAATGTTCTTTTAATTTAGGGAAAATGGAAACTAATAATCCAACCTTTTAGCGGTCTTCTTTTAATAGTCTCACCTTTTCGTTATTCATGAATAATCCAACCTTTGCACCTCATCTTCATTCACTGGTCCCTGACCGGTTGATGACCTGTTATTCCAAGTTATTTTCTTATCTTTACAAAATATTATCTTTGTGAAAGATGGAATTTATGGTATAATAGTTTGCAGAGATAAGAAAATAACTCGGAATAGCAGGTCATCAACCGGTCTGGGACCAATGAATGAAGATGAGGTGCAAAGGTTGGATTATTCATGAATAACGAAAAGGTCGGACTATTAAAAGAAGACCGCTAAAAGGTTGGATTATTAATTTCCATTTTCCCTTTAATTGCAAAATGGTAATACTAGTGATTTGCAAAAGGTCGTACCTAGATTGAAAATATTGTACAAAAAACTCATAAGGGTAATACTAGTGCGGCATAAAGATAAAAACATTCATCATATAATGTCATATTTTCATTAAAAACGGTTATTCGAATCCTCATCATTCCATCATCTCATCCTCCTCGTCATCAAACTGGCCTTGTTCTTCTTCATCCATAACTAAAGTGTCAAAGTCGTCACTGTCATCATCATAGACTCCCGCATCCTCCTCATCTTCATCCTCATCTTCATCAACAAGTCTACGGGTGGAGGCTTTTTCTTTTCCCTTAGACTTGGAACTTTCCGCTTTATCTTTCCCTTTAGAATTGCGTCTAAGAGAATACGGGGTATCATGTACACCAGAAAACTTCGCAACATCTCCCCAGGTCAAACCATCTCCATCATCAAAGACCAACTCTTCATTTGCATCATCAACGGTACCAGTCAACCATTCATTTGCCATGTCTATTTAATCCAAGCAAATAGGATCTATAGAATCACGCATTTCCCAACGACGTCTCAAAGCCCTATTGTACTTGACGAATACCAAATCATTGAGACGGTTGTATTCTAGACGACTTCTCCTCTTTGAATGCAACTGTTAAGTAATATAAATTTTTCAGTTAATCAAATGAATGGAAAATTGAAATTGACCTACACTATTGCATTAGAATAATTCTTCTTACATGTTCAAATACACTCCAGTTCCTCTCACATCCTGATGCACTTGTTGTTAAGCTGAGAAGCTTAATTGCAAATTCCGTTGGTGTATTGTTCGATCTGGTCCTGCCGTCCTGGTTTTGGGTCGAGACCGGTCGGTCCTTTCCAAAAAGAGGAAGGCCCACTAATAAGCAGTCACATACCATGTTGGGTAATATTGAATTTAGAATGAGGTGACATTGTTGTTAGAGAAAGTGAGTTTATATAGTTAATATAGAACTAAACATTTACCAAATTTTTGTATAAGACCATTTTAATGAGACGAATGGATAAGATAATCTAAACAGATACGAAGGTAATAATTATTATTATTAAGATATACCAAAAAGGTCTTTGGCCAAGCAAAGCGCTAGTTTCATGCATGTGTACTAATCCATGGATCAGATGTTCTAAAATGACCTTCAAGACTTCAACTTTTGATCTATCTTTAGCTTTTATCCATTTTCTTTCGTGATTCTACGGGGGCGTCCGGTCTATTTTCGGGCCTATAGGCGGGATAATATTTGGAGCTTATATTCAAGACAAATGATAAATTATATTTATTTAAAATAATAATTATAATTAAATTATCTAATAAAGATCATCAAATAAAAATGAAACTCATTTTTTTATTATTATTATTATTATTTTAAATTATATATTTGGTATAAAGTAATAACACAAGTATCACATAAAAAAACAAACAGTATTTTCTCTCGGAATTTTCAAGATTCAATTCTTAATAGAAACAAAATTTTCTATTGATCCTGTTAACTTAACCCTGTCTTTTCTAATCTTCTTCTCTTTCTCTATTTATCCCGACCTGATTCACCAATTTTATCAAGAGTAATTTATTGATCACGGATGGATTGTATAAAGCCTTGAAAGAAGAGGTTTTTTTGTCACCGACCGCCGTTTGGGCTCCTCGATTGATAGGCTTCAATACTTAACAAATCATTGAGGCACTCACCACTTTGCAGCGTTTTTTACTTTGTTGATATTGAAATTTGGAAACAAATCAAATTTGGATGGGCTTTGCGAATTGGGAGTTCTGGACATTAGAGGCCTAACATAACTTGATAATTTTGTAATTAAAAGGATTATAAAATTTAGAGATCCTAAGAGAATTAAGAGAGACGTGACACTACATACAACGGAACATTTTGGGCCTATTTATTCCCCTATTTTCTTGGGCTTAGGGCGGTCTCCCCTGTTGCACCCCTAGGGCCGCCCCTGGATTCTTCATTTTAAAATCTTAATCAAATTTAAGCAACTTTACATTACTTGATCAATTTTCTCTAACATGAAAGATTTAGAGCTCGTTTGATAGCACTGTTTTTTAATTTATCAGTCAACTTTTTTACCAAACACATAATTTTTTATTTCATGCGTCGTATTGTGTAATAATAATAATAACAACAAAAAAGTAAGGTTAAAGTTATTTTCTGGTTGTATCGGCTAAAATAATTGCAGAGGACCATTTTATCTATTTTTACATATAATTTTTCTTTATTTTATTAACAAAACATTTTTAAATTTATTTT